CCTCCCTCCTCCCCGAAGTTGTAAGGTTCATTTTCAACATAGAATCATGTACTTCTCATTATTATAATGTGTCAATCTGTATCCTTTTTTCTTTTTTTAATGTATATATTTTATTGTAAAGATACTGTACAGAGGGTTTATAGTTACATGAGTAAGGTAATGAATACATTTCCTATGGAGCATTGTTACTTCCCCCTTTGTTTTTCCCCTACCATCTCTTCTGTGTGCCCTGCATCTTGTATATATAATCTGTATCTTTGTTTCAGCATTTTGTTATTTCCCTTCCCCTCCCAAATTAGAAACATGTATGTACAACATTCATGTTTTTAAAGCTGGAAATGGGACTGCTGAGGCTCATGTTTATGATAGTGTTAGCCTTGTGCTCGGGGACAAATCCCAGGCACTGAGTTCAAGCTCCAGGACTAGCACAGTAAAGGGGAAAAAAAGAAAGAAAGGATAGGAAACGTATCCTTTCTACCTCTCTCGTGTTCTCTATAACTCCTTCTCAAAGTCTTTCTGTCTCTCAGGATCAATCTCAAAACCTGCAACCTACTCTGAAAATGGACTGCCAGTTCTTGAGAGAAGCAACAATCTAATTCAGTCTTAAAGAAATACATCAGATGACTTCAGGTTCAAAGCTTAGTGGGGCAAGGAAAAAGGAGGTATAGAGAATTAGCATTTGGAGTTGGTTGGTCAAGTGAGAAAATGACTTAAGGAACAAAGGAAATCAACGGCTGTTTGCCAGCAAACCATCAACTCACTACAGACAACAGTTCTGACTAGGAGTGGAGTGTAGAGGAAACAGGGACAAAACAGAAGCTAAACATCACTTCAGGAAGGAATCATTTAGTGAAAAAATGTGATGTTTTTGCAGGGGTACCCTTTAAATATGCTCTGTAGGAAAACCGAAGAGTGAGAATTGTAAGACCAGGAGTGCACAGAAAGTGGCCCTGATTTTCCTACACAGTTTTGATTTCTGTTTCTATAGGAAGGAATCTTCAAACTTTCATCCGATGTAATACTGACTCTTACCTGAACACAATTCATAGCTTTTCTACTTGATGATCTCACGCTGGAAAAGCCAGTCTCATTTTGCTTGTCCTCTGCAGACACATAATGAGTGACTACAAGATGAATGGACCAATGCAGAAAAGCACCCCTATCCAGTTTGTCACTTAGTGAACATACAATGTTCTCCTCTCTTCCTTACAATTCACGTAAATCTACCTCAGGATCACAAATTCCTTAAGACTGGAGCTGTATCTAAACTAGTAGCTGTAAGAGAGGACATTCTGGCCCTGTTAGAGAGGGACATATGAGAATATCTGGAGATATCTTTGATTGTCTCATCTTAGATGCAGTGAGACAACTTCTGTTTATACACATTAAAACACAACAGCCTCCACCACCAAGAACCACCCAACCCCAAGTTTCAATGGTGAAAAGATTTAGAAGCCCTGAATTTACTTCCATCATATAAATGGCCCAGGTAGCAGTTAGACAAGTTGCACATCATAAGCACTGACAATTATTAGAAATGACTGAAATTGCCTTTTCTTCAGGCACATTTTACAAACTGCTCTTGGGAAGTGAAAATTAAATTAGTTATTTACATGGTGTAGGAAATATAGAAGATAGTAGAGTTTATAAATTTCAATGAATTTGAGGAAAACAAGTTTCCATTTGTATTTAGAGGTGACCAGTTTAGGAGCTAACATTCTATTAATCAGCAAGCTTCTGTAATGAAATGCAGCAGGAATTACCTTATCAAAGGAGCTCCCCTGATAGTTACAGAATGTAACTGAATACAATTAAAAGATCACTGATAAGCTGCAAGCAGGTCCTTAGCTGCATTCTGCTAGAGTACACTTAATAATCTTCAATCTAGAGGCACTCTAATGAGGAATTTAAACTTACTGGTCCAGAATCTAGAATCTATCAATACTTGTTGCCTAAATTTTCATTTCAAAGTAATGAAGTAATGAGTAAGGGTTAGAATTTTTAAAAATTGTGACTAAAAGAAGATTGTTTTACAAATAAGTTCACAAGTGCTTAGAGCTGAAAAGAATAGATGATAAATTAGTAACATTCCGTTACTTATATTAAGAACTTAAGCTGGGAAGGTGGCTCAGTGGTAGAGCACTTGCCTTGCATGCATGAGGCCCTGGGCTTGATTCCTCAGCACCACATTAGCAGAAAAAGCCGGAAGTGGTGCTGTGACTCAAGTGGTAGAGTGTTAGCCTTGAGCTGAAGAGCTGAGGGACAGCGTCCAGGCCCAGAGTTCAAGCCCCACGACTGACAAAAAAAAAAGAAGAAAAAAAAAAAAGAAGAACTTAATTAGAAGAAGGTGAGGAGTTACAGGCTAGCCCCAAGAGATTTAACCAAACTCCTTAACTAACCACAGGAAAAGTCAAGTGCCAAGGTACTCAGGAGACTGGCCTATTCAGATAACAGAGCACTGTCACATCTCCTAGTAGATAAAAGGTTAATACGTACACAACTGCACAAATCACTATGTGATTTTGATTAGGCAAGTCAAACATTTTTGCTAAAGCCAAATAGGGAACACTAGTTTTTTAACTAGTACCTTACATTCTAAATATGTCTCACAATGATCCTGATTATTCTATTATATAAGAGAGCATTCTAGCTCTCACTAACTTCTTGCCAATAGCACCATATAATTCAAAGAGAAACATGCTGATTTGATGACTTTCCCAAAATATTGAAAAGAAAATGATTTTACTCCTATAGTATCAGTAGTACATTATTCAGTGTTCTATGGCATGTGCTAGCTCTGACATTACATTTGGGATGATTACATTCTTGTAATCAGGAGGTCCACATTCCTGTTCATTCATTGGGAACCAAACACAAAGACCCAATTGTTTGTGTAAAGAGTGGCTACTGTGACCTCTTCTCTCCAGGATGACTATTGTTTTCCTGATATATATATATATGCACACAGAGCCCAAAGAAACATAGGTCCCATGGTTTCCTTATTTGCAATAACTAGTATATGTCTGAGACAAGCAGAAAAGGTCAGATAAGTTGATGTTAGGTGAAATGATCCCCAAGATAAGTATTCAAATGTGTTTCCTTTCAGGTGATTGTTTCTAACATATTTATAAGATGATATCTTTCTTGCTTTGTATGTCCCTCCCCCACGGTATAACCCCTGCTTTCATTGTATTTGATGTTGGTATAATTTGTGGAGGGGAAGGGGAAAAACAAATCGTTTAAATAGGGATACAGGTGGACCCGTTGCAACAATGAGATGTACAAGTCGTTATGTCAAAAAACGAACTTTACAACTTGGGGGAGTGGGGGGGAGGAGTGAGATGGGAAGGGATGGGAAGGGGAAACAAAGGAGGCAACATTTCTTGATAAGAAAGGTACTCATTACCTTGTCCATGTAATTGTAACCCCTCTGTAAAGTATTTTCACAACAAAAATAATAATAAATGCACACAGAGGGGTTACAGTTATATGAGTAAGGTAATGAGTACCTTTCTTATCAAGCATTGTTACGGCCTCCTTTGTTTTTCCCTTACCATCCCTTCCCTCCCCACCTCCCCAGCTCCTCTCTCCCCCTTCCCCCAAAGTTGTAAAGTCCATTTTCAACATAGTGTCTTGTACAACTCATTGTTACAATAGGTCAACCTGTATCCTTATTTCAGCATTTTGTTATTTCCCTTCCCCTCTCCAAATTATAAATATGTATACACAAGATATAGGGCAACGGAATCAAATACAGTGAAAATGGGGTTTTTTTTAATGCTCTGCTACATCTCTTTCTCACACATCAAGATTATTCCAGAAAATGCTTTTTTTCAAATCCTGTTAAATACTTTTTTCAGCATACCTTGTAACTGAACCACATTTTTGTCCCCACATAGTCTTGTGCTCATTAAATAGCTACTAGTGTACCCTCTGACTTAAAAATGTTCCACCCACATCCTGCAAAAGATCATTATCTGTCCACTAATGAAAAACAACTTCACTAGGCTTATTACAGTAGCTCATTTATTCCCTGTGCTTTAGCAACCTGATTGAAGACTTTAAAGCCTTTCCTATAGGGAAAGGTTCCTTTTCCCCAACTCAAATATGATCTTACAGGGTCAGTACCCAAGCAGATCATTTCAAAGCTGAAATGAATAAACTTCCTCAGTAGGTCTGATGCTACATTTTAAAGAATTCACTCAAGACAGATTACTCTAAACAAGTTTAAAAAATGGTTTTGTTTATCAGGAAATGATATTTGCTTCCTTCTACCAGAGCTCTAAATTTTATTAAATATTTTTTATTGATGAGAAGAAATAAAAAAAAAACTTCTCTATAGGATTTTGCTATGCGCATTTACAGGCACCAGTCTCAAGGATCAGGGGCCTTCCTGATTGCTGGGAAGGATGATGTGTTACATGCAATCCAGAATCGTGTGCTTTGTCTTGGTGCTGCTGATGGAAAGCATTACTTCTCTGTAACCTTTCATTTTAATTAGACCTCCTAATGCTCTGGTTTCCGTTATAGGTGCAGCGACATTTTTCTTACTTCTTCTTACTTCTATGGAATCTCCTTGATGTTTTTTCCCCTCAAAACTTTTTCCTGATGTTCAGTTTTAGAATCCTAACCCCTGAATGAGGGAAAACTAAAGTAGAAGTCAATTGGCACAAGTGAAAATGTTAAATCCACTCATGAATTGTCAAGGTCTTTTTTTCCCTTTCTGTATAAAGAAATTTGCTTTGGATTGCCTTGAAATTAGCAAACCTCACACATAAGCACCACAGAAAAAAAAAATAAAGCAATATATTAATTTACAGTGTATTTCTCAATATTTCACTAGAGCCAAAAATCCATGCTGGAATCATGGTCCAGTCTGATGTACCATTTGGACTTACAAACCTGGTGATAAATCATTCATCTTTGAAAGGCCATTTTCCCAATGAGATTGGGCACTCTTGCTTTTTCCTGATGTTAAAAGCGTCTCTGTTTTGTTTCAGCTGGCAGGGTTCATCTACGCCTGTTATGTTGTGAAATGTATAACTGAAGAAGAGGACAGCTGTAAGTACCAAAGCTCTACTCTGTTTCTTTCACCTCAAAGTTTCTACCTTACAGAATTACACCTAGCCTTCCTGCTCCTCAGTGTCCCTTGACCCCTCTTTTAGGAAGGGATGACACTTCTAGAGCCCATCAAATTAACTTTTTCAGAAAAGAATCAGCATATTAAAGAAAGGTGGAAGCAGTCATTTTTATTACATACATTTTTCTTTTCACTGAAGATCCTTTTTAAATGTATTCTTCTTATAACCGTTATGGTAGAGTATCAGGAGGAATACTAAAGATGGAAGTGATTTCTAAATTTTTAATTGGTGTGCATTAAATTATACATGATAAGGAGTTTCATCATAGCATTTCCACATATGCATATAGAATGCTTTGATTAGTATATTCTCCCCTTCTATTACTCTTTCCTGTCTTCCCTTTCCCTTTTCTTTTCCCTCCCAAATCCTCCTGTGAAAATGGTTTTTAAATTGATTGTTTTCTTTTATAAACCATTTATTAAGTATTAATAGATAATCAGTTTCACAAAGGACCACAAAGCTCACCAATCAATAATTTACAATAATTTACATTCCTAAAATGCTCCTAAGACGTTGCTTCAAATGAATTCTGGAAATGTGTCTCTGTGGAGTCAAATGTTTGCACATTCCTTCCATTCCTACCACTTCAACCATATGGCTAGAACTCTCAGTCTTACCATTGAGGGCAATTTCTTAGTCCAAAGTTTAGGCAGTGGTCTCCTGCACCAGCTTCAGAAAAGCTCCATTGCCTTCTCCTCTTCTAAAGCACAGTTCATTGGAAGGTTTCACTGCTATCTTTTCAGTCCTACAGATCTGAAAAGATAGGAAGCATTTCTATTCTCTTTAGTATCAACATAGATCGATTCCCATATAGTTCTAGTTATTTACTTTGAGAAGAACTCAGAGTGGGGAATATTTTTTCTTGAATTTCAAAACTATTAAGGACGATTGAGGTTATTGAGATAATGGTAGATCATGAGAACCCACTTCTCTTTTACATGAAGATGCAAAGGAAACATCCAAAACATGTTTCTGCTTTACTTTCTAATCACATTGCAAGGAAAAAGTAGTATCAGATGATTAACTTGCAAGAGGTAATTTTTAATCATTAATCATATGTGATTTAAACATAGTACGTAGTTTCTATTGTTTTGTGTGCACAAAGAAATAATGGTTCTTTCACTAAGTAAGCCTTTGTAAAACATTGCTCCATGTATCAGATGATAAGTCAGTCTTAAGAGATTTTAGAAAACTAATTGATAATCTTTTAGCTCAAAAATTTTGCCACCTAGTAAGGTAAAATAAATATGCGAAGAAATTAATATAATAAAACTGTGCATAAGAAGGGAAGAGGAAAACGGAATTAGAAAGTACTTATACTGAATTATCTTAAACTTGGTCTTGAATGATAAATAGAGGCATGTTGGGTAGCTGGTGTGTGATCGAGGTGGTCCCAGATGGAAGGTGAAAAACACTTAAACATTTTACAGGAAGATTAACATGAGTGAAATTGTATCTCATGCTAGACACAAACAGCCAGAGAAAACCAGCAAAGCAAGGCTTTTCTTTTTGGGAAAGCTAGTGTGAAAGAACAAAGCGTTTAAACTTTCTTTTATAAGGAAAAATGGAAAATCACTTGGTAAATAGTCTATAAGAAGAGAATAACATAATTCAGAAATGGAGTTTAGAGAGTTTACAGTGACATCATCATGAAGGAAAGATTAGGAGGAAGAAATAATATTGTACGAACATTTGAAGCTGTATGGTAAGTACTAAGATTGGTAGGGTGGTTCATTACTGTGTAAGGGAAAAGGGAGACACTGCTAGATTCCTAGATGTCTAGTCTGAATGAATAGGCTGATGAACATGTCACTTAAGGAAAATAATGTAGAGATATGATGATTAGTTCAATGTAAATAGATTGAGTTTGTGGTACCTCAAGAAAAGACACTTAGTACACATTCATCTTAAACAAAAAAAAAAATTTATTCAAAACTAGGAAGAGAAAAGATGAACAGATTTTTAAATGTATGAATTCTGATTATGTAAATATATTCAGATTATACCATTCTGTACCTATATGCAAATCCTTAAAAAAGGAGGAGCTTACAGCCAAAGTTCAGATGGAAGTTGGGTATTCCCTGTGTTGTAAGGTTTGTTTTCATTTAACAACCATGCCAGAGCAATTCTGTCTTAGATATCATTTCCCTGCCTACCAGGTCTCCCATAGATAATAAACATCTTTCCAGAATATTCCTCTCCAAGGGGATCCTTGAAATACTCTAAAAAAAATTCTCAAGTTGATTAGATTTGTCATTGAAATTTAGAATGTTCTTTTACATATTGACATCTCTGAGAGTACTGTAAGAAAGTATGTCCAGTTTTCTTAGTTCAATTTTGTTTTAAAATTACCTTGGTAAGGTAGGTTGGGAACAGACATCAACAAAGATAGAAACAGAAAGGTTTTCATAGCTTTATTAAACTCTCAGTTCCCTGGAGAGAACACAGCATGCTATGTTGAAACATTCAGGAGAATCTCCAAGGGCAGTCTGAACACGAGGAGTGAGTGTGGAGCCTTTGGTTAGTATGAATGTGGTGACCTTGGGAAATCCATGTTCAAGAGCATGTGGTTACCTAATGTCTCTAGATGGTTTAAAGTGGGTCAAGTTGACTTGGAACCAGTGATCTTTTTTGAGGATGTTAAGCCTTCAATTTACAAAACTAATTAATGCAAAACTCCCGGATATTAAAGCATTTTATTTAAAAACAGAAAAGCATTAGAAGCCCAGGAATTCTAGTCTTAAGAGAATTCTGTCCTTGATCAATTTGTGCTCCAAACCATATAAATCCGAGAAGGTCAGAAATCATTACTATCTTCTGGAAGATTTATGATGTCACATCTAATATTCTTTTTCCACAAAGGTTCAAAATAATGTACATTCATTTTTACATATTTTGGTGATCAACCCTTATCTGCCTTTATTCAGACTTCTCATGGATAAACCCTCTAATATTAATTTTATTGCTTAGTGGGTTAGATATATCTTATTTTAATAACCAACTGACAGATACCTTACATGTTCAAAAGCTTAGTAAAGAGCCTCAACTACAGGTCCATTTGGGCTGGCTCTGTGTCCAGAAAGCTTTAATATTTATTTAATTTACTTGTAATCATTCATGCAGGGCATGCATCTGTTGAGTACAATGCTTTGGTTAGTATTTTTCATATGTTATCATTGTCTTAACCCTTTGTCTCCATGTTCAGCTTCAGACTCTGCCAAGACAGCTGACTTCCAACACACTAATGTAAAGAAAGATGGAAGTTTCTAACTTTCGGAAATTGTATGATAAAGAAAAATATCTTGGTCCCTAAAATACCTTTTTTTTTTTTTTTGGTTGGTCGTGGGGCTTGAACTCTGGACTTGGGTGCTGTCTCTGCACTCTTCAGCTCATGGCGAGCACTCTACTCTTGAGCCACAGAGCCACTTCTGGTTTTCTAATGGTTTATTGGAGATAAGAGTCTCAAAGTCTTTCCAGCCTGGGCTGGCTTTGAACCATGATCCTCAGATCTCAGCCTCCTGAGTAGCTAGGATTACAGGCATGAGCCACCAGCACCCAGCCCTAAAATATCTTGATTGCTAAAACTCAGTGAATTTAAAATGGTGCACTCAGCAAGCCTCGTAGTATAGGAAAGGTTTAACATATATGTAAGCACTGAGGGACTTTTATGTAACTACTTTAAACTGCTATGGACTTTCAATGAAGTGTCCTGACAGGGCTAGAGTGGAAAGACCAGGTGCCAGTCACCTGCCCATCAATTTACCTGTGCTTCTACTCCTATGAACGGTATGAAGAACAAGTAATAATGATAGCTTTGGGTTCTATAACTTACGCTCCGAATGCACTGTACTGATAAGAGCCCAATTATGACAACTGGATGAATAAAGTCACTTTGAAGACTATCTGAAGCTAACCAGCTGCAGGCCCAGCTCTGATTACAGGTGCCATCACAGGAAGGGCATTCAGGAAGCCTTAAAAAAATGTAGAACCCTTCAAGGGGCCACAGAGCAAAGACTCAAGTTCAGGCTCCATGAAACAGCAGCAAAGAACACACAGGAATGACTGAAACTTTGTTCTCCTTAGTTCTCATTTAAAACATTATCTCATTTGCTTGTCTACAGCTCAGTTTAAGTAACATTTATGTAGACACTGTATTCATCCATGAGCTACTATAACAAAATACCATAAGTAGAATAGATTAGACAAACAACAACAGCAACACGTATTGCTCACAGAAGTTCTAGAGGAAGATGTCTGCAGAATTGGGGTCTGGTGAGGATTTGTTTCTTGGTTCACAAATCTACCCTTCCTGCTGTGTGGGCCAAGAGTGGAAGAGGGAAGGCTGATACTATTGTTCTGAAGGCACTTGTCCCGCTCCTGAGTCCCCACTCCCTATAAACCATTCTCCAAATGCTGTTACATTGGTAATTGGGTTTTGGCATATGAAATTGATGGGGACACAAACATTCACACCACAATAGACACCTTCATGCAACATTTTTCCTCCAATGGAAAATGAGCTCTCTGACCCTTTAGTTATTTAAGCCAGCACTGCAGCCTTGGCAAGTTGCCTGACTGGGAGCTCACAGAACACCGCTGCCATCTGCTGTGCCTACCAGCCTATGGCACCCAGCTCCCTGCCTCAGAAAATGGCATGCATACTCCTTCCCCTAATCTTTGCCCTGTGTAGGGGTTAAATAATAATACACCACAGTGTGAGAGGCTACAAAAACAGAAACACTAGAAGCATGTGTCTTCACACTTCTAGATGTTGCAAGTTCCAGGGCAAGGTGTTAGCTGGTTTAGTATACCCTGAGCCCTCTTTTTTGTTTTTTGTTTTTTTTTGGCTTGTAGGCAGCACCTTCTCCCTATTCCCTTACATGGTTTACTGTGTCTCTTCCTGTACTTCTAATGACTCAA